CGTTTCCCTCACGTCTTCATTAGCCTGTGTATGCTGGCTCCATGTTCTAAAGGCATGGAGCGCATCGTCTTCAGAGCAGCTACTGGTGCTGCAGACATCGAAATCCGTTGAGAAGTCAAGCGGCCGCCGGGGCGCTGGCCTTGCAGTCGTGACCACTACTGCATGCATGCTGCTCCATTGTCACAGTGTTGCAATGAGTGTAGTACACGCTACGTAAGCAAGGGTGCCGGCCTCACTCATTCCACTGGATTTCTATGTCCACACCCAGTCCTAGTGGTCGTCATTTTTTAAATCCCGAAGCACTGATCACATTTTTTTACCTGTGGTTCTTAAATGCTCTGTATTCTACATGTAGGGTATGCCAAAGCAGCTAGCATTGGATGTTACGTTTGCGGACATTGGTGGCCTGAAGCAGCAAATCGAAGAGCTGACTGATGCTTTCGTACCGCCAATGTCGACGGAGATCGGCACGGTTGTCGGTGCGTTGACAAGATTAGTATGTGCTCTCTCTCTCTCTTCTCTCTCTCTCTCTCTCTCTCTCTCTCTCTCCTCTCTCTCTCTCTCTCTCTCCTCTCTCTCTCTCTCTCTCTCTCTCTCTCTCTCTCTCTCTCTCTCTCTCTCTCTCTCTCTCTCTCTCTCTCTCTCTCTCTCTCTCTCTCTCTCTCTCTCTCTCTCTCTCTCTCTCTCTCTCTCTCCTCTCTCTCTCTCTCTCTCTCTCTCTCTCTCTCTCTCTCTCTCTCTCTCTCTCTCTCTCTCTCTCTCTCTCTCTCTCTCTCTCTCTCTATGTTTTTCAGGTAGGTTTCCTTTGGGGTGTAGACCGACTGTGCAAGGCCCTTGAATATAATTCTGAAAGAAACCTTGCAACTGGCACACGCTTGCAAAATGGTTAAAAAATCACATGATTTATTTTTGTAGAAACGAGTCACGCCACAGCATGCAGGAACAAGCTACGGACAAAATTCCATCAAGCCAACGTTGCCTCACCTTAGAAGTGTGTGTGTGTGTTCGTGTGTGTATGTGTGTGTGTGTGTGTATGTGCGCGCGCGTGCGTGTGTGTGTGCGTGCGTGTGTGTGTGTGTGTGTGTGTGTGTGTGTAATACCCCGTTAACAGGTTATCCGCGCACCCGCGGTGTCCTCCTGCACGGGCCAGTCAGGTCCGGGAAGACGCTTCTGTTGCGTGCTCTGGTGCGTGAGCTGGCAATACCCCATGTCTACGTTAATGGAGGCAGCCTCACTGAATCGTGAGTATTGTATGCCACTCATTTCCTATTGAAGATATGCAACGACATCAAATTTACCTTATATGGGAGCTAGCTGAGTGGCAAAATGCCCATTTATGGGTAAAGTCACTAAAGTAAAGTGCATACAGAAACCCCATATATAGAAGAACTTGCAAACGTACTTTGTGACGTGTATTGCATATCCTCTATTCTCATGTTGCTTCTTATCGAGTGAGGCTTGTTTGGAAGAGACGCTGTTGTTATTGGGATTCTTCCTTGTCTGTGTGACAGTCGCCATGCCGTATTGGCAACAACCAGTGAACTATGTCGACAGGCTTCTATTTGAGAGGGCATTTACTCAATTCTAAGTGTCTAAAAATCGGCCCTTTTATTCAAGAAGAGATTCTAATAAAGTTGATACGAGTGCTTGTACGTGCGTGTGTGTGTACGTGTGTACGTGCATGCATGTGTGTGTATGCGTGCGCGCACACCCGTGTGTGTGTGTGTGTGTGTGTGTGTGTGTGTGTGTGTGTGTGTGCGCGCGCGCGTGCGTGTGTGCGTGCGTGCATGGGTGCGCATGTGTGGGTTCATGTACACATGCTTGTGCGTGTATGGATGCGTTTGCAGGCCGTCGGAGGACCTGGAACAGCTTCTGAGCGATGCATTTGACCAGGCTCTTAAGCAGTAAGTGCCGAACTGGTGGTGCCGAACTGGTGGTAGCCTTCTGAAAAGTCCCGAGGCTCATTTACACATGGATTGTTTAACCCTTTAGGGCCCACAATTATTTCAAGAAATGCATACGCGAGCCCAGGTACTTATCTGGTCGTAACTTTGATGTCCTTTGGCCGATTTTGGTGATCTTGGGCTTTCTCGAAAGCTCTTGGCCAGAGGAACACAGCGATAGCCAGCAATACATCACTCGATCCACAGAACCAGCGCCGCAGCGCGATACGGCGCTCCAAAGCCAGCATTGCGAGCGCCCAACTCAAATTCTCTGCCATTTCAACAAATTGCATCGCAGATCGCTCAAATGTTTTTACTAGAGAGCTGAGAAACATGCCTTTGCGATGACGTGAACTATCTGTAGCTGCGTGGGCCGCGAGTCAGGGAAAACCCATAAAAACGAGTTCAAAATGCACGCGCTCGAGTTGACTCTGCTGAGCGAATTTAGTTCGAGTCTCGTATCTCCGCTCTCCGAACTCGGATCGCTTTCGGGTTTTTTCGAGCCGATAGCTGAGGCAATTCTAATGTCGATAGCCCTTTCGATTGTCCGATTTGGTCAAGGGACAGCCGAATTACGCCAGGTTGCGCTTTGAAAAGTATGCACTGTGCACTGGTACGGATATATCCGTACTATGGGCCTCAAAGGGTTAAAGATCATAGCGGTGGCTACTAGTACCGGTTTTCTAGCGATGTGATCGGCATGTTGTCTATGTGTTTGCATCCACAATCTACATGTATGTTGTTTATGATTTCATAATGGAGGTGTTCATGTAAAATCTCTTCTGATTCATTTCGTGTGTGTGTGGGGGGTGGGAGAGGGACTGTGTGAGTGGATGTGTGTGTGTGCTTGTATTTATGCTTGTGTGCGCCTTGATCCGTAGAGGGTGGTGGTGTTCCTAGGGACACGTGAGACTCGGCCTCCAGCCGAGTCCCACGCGAGCCGTGATTTTTTGTAAGCATCTGTGCCCGTGTTTCCATGTGTGCTGCGTGCTGTGTGTGGTGTATGCTGTGTGTGGTGTATGCTGTGTGTGGTGTATGCTGTGTGTGGTGTATGCTGTGTGCTGTGTGTAGTCCCCGGTGCATACTGGTGATCGAAGGCATCGATCAGCTGTGTCCGCCCATCAACACGGAAACGACAGACTCTCTGAAGACCACTCGTAAGACGCTGATTTCGCTCATGGACAGCCTTGAACAGGTATGCATTTTTGTGAGATCTCGCCTCGTCTATTGGACACTTCGTGATAACATCCATAATTATATTATATGGATGTTTACTTCAGTTAACCCTTTAACCCTTTACCGGTCTACTAGCGTACCGGGACTATAGTACCGGTACGTTTGGCTTTCATTTTTTAAAAGGTTTTTTTGCTAGGAGGCGGCTAAAATGGCACTCTACGTGCAGCCGATGTCCAAGGCTTTCCAGCGACGTACGAAGCAACTATACTTACAATAAAAAAAACTTTTGCTGTATCGATCGACGGAAGTTTGTGGCACTTCGAATATTGTGTTTTTGTGTGCACGGTCGGTCGACTTGTGACACCTTGCTGTCCCAATCACACACTGTTGTGACACGTTTTTCTTCTTCTTTTTCTGGCTGTTTTCAAGCAAGGTGGGGGTGCTCGTGAGAGGCAGAGTGCTCCAGCAGTAATTATTTTCTGCCAGCGTAAAGCCAGAAATTTCCGGCGGGGTTTATTTCTGGTAACTTACTTCGGTACGAACGGATTACGTCCTAAATTCAATACCAGCATACTGTGCTGCCAGTTCTGTACATTGTAGCCCTGTTCTACTAGTACTGGCAGGCACTGAAATCCCACCCCCTGGGCGCTGTGTTCACTTTCTAGCGGCCTCTATTTCGTAGTGTTACAATGTGAGCGCACCGCTCAGGGGGTGGGATTTCAGTTGCCAGCGCTGTGCTAGTACTTGCAGGCAGCTGAAATCCCACCCAATGTGCAAGGCTGGCGTCCTCAACCTGCACAGCCCTTGACGTCCAGGAAGTGGTACGAATGCGGCTGGACGTACACATGTACAGATACAATGATGTAATCGGAACTGGCCCAGGGCGTCAGTTTTGCACTTTGGGTCGGATTTCAGTGAGCGCAACTGTAGTACACGTACTTTAATTTCAGAAATTTTCGGTGCTCAATATTTTCGGTATGAGGGCAAAAGGGCAGGTTAGGTGAGCAGAAATGTTAGGTACAGAGAAGCAGTACCCTATTGGATTATGTGTGTTAGTGTTTGTTCGGTGTATTGAAATTTTAGGTATGAAACAGACTCACCGAAAGTACCGAAAATAAAAGTACGCCGGAAAATTTGTGAAATTACAGTACTTGTGTAGGATCCCTGCCCGACCAATACGGAAGTAGTACGGAACTAATACGGAACGACCTTATGTATATTAATTTTAGTGTACAGTTGAACATCGATTATCCGCACATCGACTATCCGACCATTCGATTATCCGTAACAGTTTTTTTGGGCGCATGTGCCGTAGAGTACGCACTGTGCATGTAGTGAGCCATTCAAAAAATACGAAAAATTTGAAAAGTAAAAAGTAAAAAGGTCGTGCGGCTAGTAATAACCACTGAAAGTGTGTGAGTGACAGTTTTTTTCTTATCCGGAACATTTGCCTTATCTGAACACCGCCTGACAGTTGTCTGCCCAGAGGTGGTCGGATAATCGATGTTCAACTGTATCTCCGCATATAAGCGTACGGCGTCTGCTGCATAAAAGCAGCTGCGTTTTTCTGTTTTAATTAGATTAGATTAGATAGCAACGAAAGCTAACTCGAAGAAGAAGAAATCAGCCTCTAGGTGAGCACCGGAGAGAAAGTTATTTATTTGCCGCTTCTTCTTTCACTAATAATTATTATATCTCAGGTGTGTACCTGAAAGAAATAGTATAAAAGATAACTCTTGTTGATTACACCGCGCCTACCACTCGGCTACCCATTACACTTGCAGGGGAGAACACCCAACTGGTCGGTGCTGAAATGAAACGCAGCCGGAACACTCACACATTCTGAAAATATTACAAACAAAATTTCTGGTTTCATGCTACCCATAGTGTGCATTTGACAAAGACGTCAGCCGGCCACGAGGGTAAGCATTGTCGTTTACACTGCCTCGTCGTTGTGTCGTTTCTCTTCTTTGCTGTTGTTGTATTCAGTCATCGTCAAGCTCATCTGCCGACGGTTCAGTGATGGTACTGGCGACGGCCGTGAGCGAAGATGCCGTGTGTCCCAGTATGCGTGCGGACGGCCGTTTGTCCGATTGCATCGAGGTCATGCCGCCAACAACTGACGAGCGTGTGCAGGTAGGGGGCGAATTTATTTTTTGCTCGGAGACGGATTTCCTTTTATTTTTTTGGCATTGCAAGTCGTAATTTTTGTACCTTCCCTCAATGTTGCACTTTGGTACCCGTAACAACAACGTAGGACGCACTTTTGTGCTATCTCATCCTAACTTACAGTTTGTGTTCAGTGATGCATCTCCGCTCGCGACAGTGGCGGGTGCTGACAGGACTGGAGAAAGCCGTTGTTGATTGGTCTGGCCGTACCATAGTCCTTCATACTTCGTGTAGGACATGACGGGTACCGTATTTCCCCGGTTACAAGGCGCACTCGATTATAAGTAGCATCCCCATTTTCAGGTTTGAGCAATATTGTTTCGATGTATTCACTTCAGTAGTAAGTCATGCTCGATTGTAAGCTTCACCCCCTTTTTTACCCTGAATTTTAGTGTAAAACGTGAAAATTATATTGGGGGAAGTACGGTATTCAAGACCTCCTCGCCAGTAAACTTGGGAGTTGTCGGCCAAGCAGTTGGTGCGACCCTGGCCTGGCCAACTGCCACGGCTCCACCGTCCCCGACTTATCATCCAACTTCGAGCACATCGTCAGGCGAAATAGCACGTCATAGTACATTCGAGATCAGCGGGAAGAAGATGACGACGTCCACTAATTTAGTATCTGTGCACACGAATCTGCTGTGCGTGTTACTCTGTGTGTCAGCTATGGCATCATCGCCTGTGGTTCCATGCGTAGCATGTACGTCTGAACCATCCTGCAAAGTTTGAATGACGTAGGTTGAGCGATCGCTCTGCGAAACATACTTTTTGAAATTCTCTTCATAGTATATCTTCCACCACTGAAATTTCGAATTTCTTCGAATTTTTTGCTGAGAGGGGTGGCTTGCAACCTCGATATGGCTTGTTCCAGGCTTGCTTTGGAGTCATCGTCTGTTGAAACAGTGGCGGGAAGCTGCCCTGCAACTGTTCCAACAGGAAATTAATCGATCCGAGAAAGCGCGAGTCCGCGAATCTCGGTTGAATATTGAGTATTTCAAGCCTTTTCACGACGAAGATGGAGTTCTTTTTGGAGATGGACGTCGCGGCAAAGGACATGGTCTCCGACTTCTGGCGTCTGGTGAAGCCAGGGATCATTTGTCCAGTCAGGTCGGCAGCCTAACCGTCGGTAAGCTTGTGTTTGGATCCCGTTCTGCTCGATGTGGTAGATCACAAACAATTTGATATCGCACAAATTGATCTCAGCATCGTGCGTACGGTATTTTATATTCAGAAAATCCCAAAGTGTCTCTGTGTGGCCGTCCTATGCCACGAGAAACTCCAATCAGGCTCCAATGTCCTCTGCCTTCATGATTGAATGTCCACTTAGTTTGAACAACGAACACAACCATCGAGGACGGCTTTGCAATGAAAAATACAGCTATACTGGAGCTGAAAAAAAGAAGAAAAAAACGTGCTCAGGATGAGACTCGAGAACACGCATACTCTCCCAGCAGGTGAAACGCAAATTTTTGTGAAAAATGCGTGTCGCCGACTGACCAGTAATTTCGCCTGACGTTTAACTACCACTGCTGTTGCTTGGATTTACGTAAACCCTGACCTGTACAGGGCATTTTTGATTCTGAATTGAAGGATGGATCACTTATTTTACTGGTTTCAAGATTTAAAAATATCGTCTGACATTGCCACTTTTACACGCGCAATGACAGCCTCTCAAATTCCCCGAAAACGAAGACTTTTCTCATACAGCTTTTGTGTGCGGAAGCATGATACTTGTACATGTACATATTTGTGTTGCTGTGCTTATGTGTCTGTATGCTGGTGTAGATTCTGGATATCATGTTGGGCAAAATGAAGCACAACCTCACGAAGGAAGACATTGCCAGGTACTGGAGGCTGATCCATAGTACAACTTTTTGCGACGCGATTTGCGACAGTTGCGACAAGAAAGTGCCTGTCCTAGGTGTAAGGGCCCGGTCACACATGCACTGGGATTCGCTTCGGCGACGAGGTTCGGCGGCAGCGAGGCTGGTGTCGCTCCAGCGAAACCACGTGTGTGTGGTCACACATACAAACAGGGCACAACTCCTACTTTGGCGGAAAATGAGACTGTGGTGCATACGGTTCGGAGAATAGACGAGGTCAATGACTATCTTGCACGCATTTTTGTTGCATGGACATCATACGCATACAAATTTCTCGTAGCAAGTCCATATACAGCAGACCGTGGTGTTTTCCGCTGAAGCGAATCCGCAGAAGCGACAGTCTCGCTTCGAAAATTTTGGAGGAAGCGGATTGGAGTTTCTGCTGAAGCGGAAGTTCCGCTTTTCGCCGTTGCCATGCCATTTTTCGCTCCTGCGACCTCGCTTCAGCGTATACGCTACTTTCGAGTGCATGTGTGACCGGGCCCTAAGGCACCTGTCGCAGAAGTTGAAGAAAGTTCAACTTTTGTGACATGCGACGCGCGACCCACACATATGGAGTACAGTTTCTACCCTGGGTGGACATGCAGTGCTGCATGTGCATAATACATGCAGCACTGCACAGGGATGCCGCAAAACACCAAAAAGATTGTGAACCATGTGTCGCTGTCGCAGCTCGGCGCAGGTGTCGTAAGTTGCATGTCGCGTCGCAAAAAGCTGCATTGTGAATCGGCCTTAAGTCTGATATTAGATACCTGATTTCTGATGTTAGTCACACGAAAACGATGTTTAATTAAACCGATGATGTATTATTGTTCTGGTGTCCTGGTATGACTGTGTGCACACTTTTTCTAATGTTGCTAGGCTCCTTTCAGTGACGGCAAAAAACTTCTGTGATGACCACGTATGCCTTTAGAAATACTTAAGTGGGAGAAATCTCTATGTTCAACTGTATCTTAAGTTATTCTTAACTTCGTACACACACACGCACGCACACACACACACACACACACACACACACACACGCCCGCCCACCCGCGCACACACACACACACACGCCCGCCCACCCGCGCGCACACACACACACACACTCGGGAAATTGCGTCAATATCATGTTGCACTGTTGTTTGTGTTGTTGTTGTTATGCTTAGGTTGGCTGGTAAAGCGAACGGATACGTTGGTGGCGATCTTGTAAAGGTTTTCGAGCAAGGTAAGCTGCGCGACTTGTCTATCACTAGGCATGTCCAGAACTGCCAAGTTGTTGTTAGTTACATCGATAATCTCATGAAGTTATTCCACCACCACCGCATGCACCCTCTCTGGCCCACTTCACGAACCAGCAACACGACTCTGAGTTGTAGATATTAACACAATAATTGTTTCCCTCCATATAGCGCTGTTTCAATCACTAAGGTCTCATCAGTGAAGGTTGAGAATAATGAATGGCTAGAATTAATATGAAGGCACAGTTTTATACATGAAGAAGCGCGATCACGCGCTTAGAGGTAACAGACGTGCTATTTGCTAACACACGGAGAAAAGGTGCAAAAGACTCTGCTACACGCCGTAAGTGTTCTGCGGACATCATTGTTACTTGCGCAACAGATTCTAGCACTCTGAAATACAATCATGCAGTATGCTGAAAATATAGGTGACAGTTCAGATTGAGCGCTCCAACACAGCACTGTGAGTAGTTACGCGAGAGGCCCCCGGGGCATTCACTCCGTGAACTCACTCACCACCATACAGGACTGTCGTCGCATAGCGTACGCAGTGACCGTGGTGACGTGTACACATTTCGACAAACGCGGCCAAGTTTGCCGCATGTCTCACAGAAATGCACTCTGTTTCTGGAGTACCGTTTGCTTGACATGAAGCTGCGCCGTGTGCACCAGCTGTTCGATCCTTGTTCTAGATCGTACCAAGCAAACGCGCCCTAACGTGACGTCAAGTAAGCCATCCTGACCATGGGCCACACATTCGAAAACTTGGTGAACCTTTTAAAGTGACATCTGCTGCCGAGTAGGCCCTGGCGGATAATGCTCGAAAAGGTGGCAGATTCTGCTCGAAAAGCAGTGAAATTGGCAGGACCATACAAACCGTATCGCGCAATTCCTCGAATTCTGCTCCATTTCTTTATCCACATACCAAACACGCATGAAACTTACCAGAAACCGAATTCTGCCAATTTTTCTGCCGGCATTGTCCGCCAAGGCCTACTGCCGAGATGCCGTGTGTTGCGTGTTTGGATTGAAGAGAAGTATTGCAATGGAGAAATGCAAGTATAGTACTGACAGGTGCTGAGGGAACTTGGGGATCAGCCTCTTCGCCTAGACCGTTCTTATTTTCATGTACTTTAAAACGACCAACTTTTTTTCTCGTTATTCGAAGAAACGTTATCGCGAACCCGGTTTGAGATGTCTGTGTAAGGGTGCGCATACAGATGGGTGGCCAGGTAGCCATCTTTAAACTTTCTGCACGTTAACATGCCAGAATTACAAAAAACTTTAAACTTTTTGTTCGTTAAACTTTCCGGTTTTTACAGTATGGCCACACTTTGTTTTTTCTATGTTTCTCGTCGGCAAATTTTAACAAAAGGTATGCGGGCGGGCGGATAAAAAACAAAAGCCAAAGAAAAAACAAGAACAATTTCTACTGAAAACTGTATACATTTTACATGTGTTTGCGTGATTCATACGAGACACTGCGTATACCATGTATAGAGTACTACATTGTACAAACATGTACGATGTAGTCCCATACATGATTGCACTACTAACTGTACATAGTCATTATCACATCAGCCCACGAATATCAGGCAAACTGCAACAATGAGAGTATAAAGTTTGATGAATACGAGATGGCGAAGAGAACATACATTTATCTGCTATCGCATCAACAAACGCTTTCCCACTCGTCATTTTTGGTTTTGTTACTTCAACGTTCTTGTGTCCGGTTATCAAACTCTTGTCTCCACGCTGCTCATCTTTTCCTCGCCATGCGTCCTTTGCTTGGATTTTCTGCCCACGACATCGTTCCACAGACGCCAGTTGCCACGGAACTCGTCCGACTTACGGTATTCCTGGGACCCACGAGGCTCAGACAGTGAACGACTGAAAGCTTCGTCATGGCAGCCTTCATCCCAGAGAACGGACGGAGAACGCTCCGTTGCTGCTGTGGTGCAAACATTTACGGTTTTGATTGACGCACCTAGCTGCTGCAGCATGTGCAGCGCACATACATGTACAATGTACGTAGGGCCACCCAGTTGTTTCGGGTCACCCGACCGACCGTCTTTTTTCACCCGACCGCAATTTTTTTTTTTTTAGTGCATGCAAATGTGCATGACTACAAGTACAAGGTAGACTATGTACACACGTACACGCGACCCAAAATATATAGCAGTCCAGACATCGACCTCAGAAGCAGCCAATTAACAGGATGCAGCGCTTGGTGACGACGTTGTCTTCTATCTCCGATTCGCAATCGGTCCTGAAACAGCATCAGCTCGGCCACTGCGTCGCTCATTGACAGAAGTTTTCAAGGACTTCGGTGAGAGCTGCTCGTCAGACTCGTTTGCCAGCGAGGCCAAGATCTGGTCCTGGAGGAGACCTGGATCTGATGGGACAATGGCTATGCTGGATCGACTACAGTCAGATTTGATCGACTGGCTTGATGGAGAAAAGCTATTCGATATGCACAATTGTACATGTATGCACATGCCCGCAACTAAAATAAAAAATAAAATGAAAAATAAACCCGACCGACCGGCCCTGGTACAGCTGAGTGAAGTGACCCGAAACAACGAATTAATTCTAGGTGGCCTAGTACGAACTTTTTTTTTCTTCCGAAATTTCTGAAAACCTACGCGGGCGATGACGAGAAACATAGAAAAAACAAAGTGTGGCCTATACAGTCTATAATAACGTTAACGAGGAGAAACCTGTCGTTAAAATAGAAATCGTTATACAGACATCGACACATATACTGTCCTATTGAGCGTTGAGAATGAGTGAGAATCGTTACCTTTGGTACACGTAAACTAGTCAATTTTGGGAAATCGTTATACATGCGCCTCGTTAGAATAATGGCTTTTACAGTAGTTGAATCGCCGTGTATACATTGGTATGCTGTGCTGTGCTGAAATTCTAGCCTGGTCGGTCTTCGGCGCTCTGTTCTTCGGCGCGCGACAGCACTGCAGTACAAGTAATACAAGTAATTTATAGAAAAGAAGAAAGACCAAGGAACTACACGTTACGCTATACTGTCCACTAACACCACCAGTTACTAAACAATCAGCTCATGCGATAACTGGTGGTGTTAATAGTGGACATTATAGCGTAACTTGTAGTTCCTTGGTCGTTTTTCTTTCCAATAAATTAAGCCTTGGCTGTCCATCCGAATACAAGTATTGAATGGAGTTTCAATCAATTTTCACATACCGTCAATTTCTGTGTTCTGTCTGCTCTTGTGTTTGCGTAGCCGGGAAGCAATGCGGGAAGCGCTTATTGGCGACACCTTGCGCTACTGCTGACGATATGTACATGACACTGGCCGACATTGAGCTTGGCATGCGCAAAGTGAAACCGAGCGCCATGATGGGAATCACTGTGGAAGTTCCCAAGGTCAGACTCTCTTTCTTTTCTCCGCGTTGTGCTCGACAGGTCTTTTGACCGAGTGTGTGAATGCGTATGCGTCTGCCTGTCTGTCTGGCTGGCTGGCTGGCTGGCTGGCTGGCTGTGCGTGCATGAATTGGTGTCTGTGTGTACGTGTGTGCACGTGTGTGTATGTACGTGTGTGCATGTACGTGTGCATGTGAATGCATGCGTATGCGCCTGTGTGTGTCCCAAAATTGTTGTGTGCACAAGAGCCGTATGTCATTTCTAGCCACTGCGGCTGATTGTGTTCATAATGTTGTGTGTATTTCTGTTACAGGTCCGCTGGAGTGATATTGGTGGCCTGTCAGAGGTCAAGAAAAAACTCAGCCATGTCGTTGAGTTTCCGCTCAAGTATCGCAAGGTACTCTCACTATTACGTATGTGTGTGAGTGTGTGTGTGCGTGCGTGCATGTTCGCATGTGTGTGTGTGTGTGTGTGTGTGTGTGTGTGTGTGTGTGTGTGTGTGTGTGTGCGTACGTGCATGCGTGTGTGTGTGTGTATGGGGGGGGGGGGGGCACTTTTGCGTATCTGCATTTGTGCTGGCATGTGTACTGGATGCATGGGCGTGTGGTCTTCTTGCAAACTCGAGTGCCGGTACTGACCAAGTGTGAATGTATGCTGGTGTATGATCAGCCAGCAGCGTGATAGCGTTTGACTCTCTGCTGTGTCTATGAAGACCTTTATTGCTGAACTCGCGCAATTTTGATGCAGATTGTGTTGAAGGAACCTTTCGAGGTTAACCCTTATCCGTCTCACCAAAGGGAAAAAAGTCTTAGGCCCAGCGACACACCGCGTTCCATTTTGGTGACAACTTCGGTTTCGGGTGAAATTGGCAATCTTGTGCTTTTTGGAAAGGTTGAGTCATGATCAGCTCTCTTGCGACCTTTTTTTTTTTTTTTTTTTTTTTTGTAAGAAGAAGAAGTGAAGAAGTTTATTTGTATTAGGGGTCGTCCGTATTTTTCGAAAAATTAAAAAATCCGTCCTCAGGCAAAAAGGGGGTGGGTGGTCAAGAGTGCTGGCGGAATTTAATTTTTTGATTTTTCGTACTTTTTTTTTTTTTTTTGCTCCAGTGACTTTCATACACTTGTTGCACTGATTATAGCTGACTGTGTACTGTACTGTAGACGTAGTGTAGGATCGATTGTCGCTAACACCAGTATCTACTATGATATACATGACTTTTCATGTACAGTTGAACATCGATTATCCGCACATCGACTATCCGACCATTCGATTATCCGTAACAGTTTTTTTGGGCGCATGTGCCGTAGAGTACGCACTGTGCATGTAGTGAGCCATTAAAAAAATACGAAAATTTTGAAAAGTAAAAAGGTCGTACATGTACATGTTTCTTATCCGGAACATTTGCCTTATCTGAACACCGCCTGACAGTTGTCTGCCCAGAGGTGGTCGGATAATCGATGTTCAACTGTAGTTGTACGTAGGACGGTGCATGGCCGTGACGTCGGTAGACCTAATACTCACTGTACTTAGCTACTAGTACTTGACACAGGTGCAGTCAGAAAACATGGGGTCAGGAGTTCTTATTTTTCGAGCTGGGTATGCCGGCATCGGTAAAAATCAAAAAATTAATGGGAAAAAATGGGGGGTGGGTGGGTGGGTCAGAGACAATTTTGCACGAGGACGGATTTCTTAATTTTTCGAAAATTACGGACGACCCCTTAGGCACAGAAATCCATCCACAGACCTAATTCTCTATTGCATCAGTATGTGTGGCACGTGTTGTGAGCTGCCGTTGGAGTGATGAAGTTGTCAGTGCCTTCTATTGTTGGCGTGGTCCAATAGCTCAAATGTGTAGTGCACTGCTCATGACAAACAAGGTCCCAGGTTTTGGTCATAGTGGGGTTGGCATTTTTCACTTTTCAGGCAGTTCACTTCCTGACTGATTCTGTATTGCATTTTGTTTTAACTTGCAGAACTTTGAAGAAGCGGGTAGACCGCGACCGCGTGGTGCTCTGATGTACGGTCCACCAGGGTGCAGTAAGACGATGATAGCACGTGCTTTGGCGACAGAGAGTGGTATGAACTTTATAGCTGTGAAGGTAAGTGTGTGTGTGTGTGTGTGTGTGTGTGTGTGTGTGTGTGTGCGTGCGTGTGCGTGTGTGTGTGCGTGTGTGCATGCGCGCGCGTGTGTGTGCGTGCGTGCGTGTGTGTGTGTGTGTGTGTGTGTGTGCGTCTGTGCAACTGTGTGCGTGTTCGTGTTTTGTTTTTGTCTGTGTGTATACATGCATGTTTTTGTCCATGGATGTGTACATATGCGTACATACATACTGGTGTACATGTGCGCTGTGGAATGCATGCCATCACAACTTGGATATCTTCTGCGTTTTTTTATGCAGGGTCCTGAGCTATTTAACAAGTACGTCGGTGAATCGGAACGATCAGTTAGAGAGGTAGGAAGAATGGATGTGTTTGCGTACCTCTTGGAGGCCCGTGCATGTGTGTGTTTGTGCGCCCGCAAATGTGTGTGTGTGTGTGTGTGTGTGTATGTGTGTGTCTGTGTGTGTGTCTGTGTCTGTGTGGCGTGTGTCTGTGTGTGTGCACGTGTGCATTTGAGTGCTTGCACGTATGAGTGTTTGGACGGGATGGTACATCAATGCAGTCCTCAATTTTACTTCACACGTCCAATCTCCTCCTTGTCATGTGTGTCTTTGCATATGGGGTCTCCGACGGCGAAAGCTCACATAAAGTTTTCCAAGTACAGTGCGTAGGGTGCATACCATGTAGACCAGCGTGTAGATCAGCGTGTAGATCAGCGTGTAGATCAGCGTGTAGATCAGCGTGTAGATCAGCGTGTAGATCAGCGTGTAGATCAGCGTGTAGATCAGCGTGTAGATCAGGTTGTAGATCAGCGTGCGCGCATTACCAACATCTGCCATGACCTTCTCTCCATGAGCGACACTGATTCACGCTGCTGTCCGGAGTTCGTGAGGTGTTTGTCGCGCTGGATGCGAAGCGTCGCAGTAAGTTTGTGTACTAGCATGTACGCGTGGTGATATTTTGGCTCGGAGAGCACTACATAACGCAGTGCTCTCGGAACACAAATTCCAATAGCCTACTCGAGCTCAGCTGATGATGGGTGAATTCCTCGCAACACTGTGTACTGACTAACAGGAAAGCACCATTGTGCTTTCTTGCTGGTTTGCCGAGTGGAAGGTCCACTGCACTTCTCGTGTGCTCTGGATGGCAGTCGTGAGTCAGTCTAGTGAGATTCAAGTGGGCAGTAAAAGTGCGAGGTCGCCTATTAGGGCGCGACACACAATTCCCTAAGTATCGCCGAAGTCGCACCAACCTCTTCTTCCTTTGCCTTCATGTTGTGTCTGTTTGTTGTTTGTTGTTTTTGCTGTGGGTGGTGTGTTGCTACTGTCGTTGTTGCTACTGTCGTTGTTGCTACTATCGTTGCTACTGTGGTTGCTGCTGCTGCTGCTGTCATTGCTGTTGCTGCTTCTGTCGCCGTCGTCGTTGTTGTCGTTGTTGTTTCCGTTATTCTGGGTATAGGTGTTCAGGCGAGCAAGAGCTGCTTCACCGTCTATCATCTTTTTTGACGAGATTGATGCACTGGGAGTGAAGCGCGAAGGGTAAGTCTCATTGCGCTTGCTGCTGCTGCTACTACTGCTGCTACTGCTGCTGCTATCGCCTCCACTTGACTGAACACCTGAATGTCAATGAGCATGTGGAGGACGCACACAGCTTGTAGGCCGGATTACTCTCAGACTCGTTCACACTCTACTCTGCTCTCTACGTCCTGCCACCCTTGTAGCTCGACCACTGTGCTGGTAAATCTAGGAAGTACTCCTCGGCCATAAGCCTGCCATGTGCTGCCATGTACTGCCATGTACTGCCATGTACTGATCATGGACTGATCATGGACTGGTCAGGATGCACAGATCTGCTGCTTGCTTCTGTTCCTGCTTGACCTATGTGTTGCTTCTGCTGGTGGTGTTGCTGCTGCTGGTAGTATTGCTGCTGCTGCTGCTATTGGTGGTGGTGGTGGTGGTATTGCTGCTGCTGCTGCTGCTGCTGCTGCTGCTATTGGTGGTGGTGGTGGTGGTGGTGGTGGTGGTGGTGGTGCTGCTGCTGCTATTGTTGTTGTTGTTGTTGTTGTTGTTGTTGTTGTTGATGCTGGTGCTGGTGCTGGTGGTGCTGTTGCTGATGGTGGTGCTGGTGCTGGTGCTGCTGCTGCTGCTACACTGACTGACCTTTGTTTGCAGTGAGAACCAGTCTTCCCGCGTTGGGGACCGTGTGGTCACTCAGCTTCTCACCGAAATGGACGGTGTGGAGCAGCTGGGCGAAGTCATTGTTATCGCGGCTACCAACCGGCCCGATGCCCTTGATCAGGTGAGTGTGATCTTGATGCTTGCAAGCTATTGTGAATTGTCGCTTCACTCGCGTCTCTCCCCCTTTCCCTTGCAAGCTATTGTGTATTGTCGCTTCAGTCGTGTCTCTTTTTCTTGGCACTTGCAAGCTATTGTGTATTGTCGCTTCAGTCACGTCTCTTTTCAGAGAGAAAATGGTCCACTGTAAGGGATGTTGCAGTGTTTTGCTTTCTAGGGAAACAAACCAGTATAGTGTGTTGTTCTGCGTGTGTCTGTGTGTGTCTCTGTGTGTCTGTGTGTGTGTCTGTGTGTGTGTCTGTGTGTGTGTCTGTGTGTGTGTCTGTGTGTGTGTGTGTGTGTCTGTGTGTGTGTCTGTGTGTGTGTGTGTGTGTGTGTGTCTGTCTGTATGTGTGTGTGCGCGAGTGCACGCGTGTATGTGTACGTGTGTCTGTGTGTGTGTGTGGGGGGGGGGGGGTACCTGTGTTTGTGTGTCTATACACGAGTGTTCGTGCATGTATGTTTGTGTTCGGAATCTTTGGAGGTGTGGGCGCTTGTATACATGCGTTGTCAATTTGTCATTGTCACTTCTACTGCCGTCGCTGCTGGTTGTGTTGAAGTCGTGTGGCGTATTAGGCTGCTGTCGCTGTCCTTGTAATTGCTTTCAACAGTGTGATGTTGTTGTCGTTATCATTGTTGCTTCAGGCCCTACTAAGACCTGGACGGTTTGGCTCGCTTATCTATGTTCCCCTTCCTGATCCAGAGACGAGGAGGGAGATCTTCTCGGTGAGTGAAGCCTGATGTTTCTGTCTGTGCCACTGCTGGTGTTGACAGTGGTGATGGGGATGGGGATGGGATGGTGGTGATGGTGGTGATGGGGATGGTGGTGGTGATGATGGGGATGGTGATGGTGGTGGTGATGGTGGTGATGGTGATGGGGATGGTGGTGGTGGTGACAGTGGTGATGGTGCTGGTGCTGGTGGCAGTGATGCGACCGATAGCCTTCTTGACTGCCTCTGCCCTTATTGTGTGTACTGTTGATGTAACCGAAAACATTTTCTTTCCTAAACAGTACACCCACTTAGTGATTGGTAGCAGTTGAATATCGATTATCCAACATCGATTATTCAAACATTGATTATCCAAACATCAATTATCCGACCACTTGATTATCCGGAATGGTTAAAAACAAAAGTGCACATGACACACTGGACACATTTGAACCCTTTGATAAAAATGTCACCGTTCGCTTGAGGCCGGGTTTTCCGCATCCGCAAGAACACCATCACCCTCTAGGATCAAGGAACCTTTTGAGAGGCATGAATGTGTAGAATTTGACAACTTCAACTGTTAGACTTCAACAGGACGTAACTCGATCAAAACTAGCTCAAATTCAACGATCCAAATATCCAATATGTCCCATGAAGCTGCTTGAGGCGTCCGTCAGAATTTTAGAATATCCAGGTCAAGGAGAAACTCTTAGCGTTGTATTGTATTGTATTTTATAATTTTACTTGGGCATTCCCAACAGACCCTAAGGTCTTCTTGCATAGTCCCCAATCGTTCCGTAGACCTCATCCGCCAAGCGCTGCGATTAGCGGTTCCTGAGATAAATCGCTTGCAAGGTGAGCCGCGATCGCAGCAACTTAAAAAGTGCGGAGCATCACGTAAAAGATGAGAACATTGAGACGTTCCCTCGCGCTGAGTGCCATTCTAGGCGGTTTGTTCTTTGGCGCTCCATTCTTCGGCGCTCCGTTCTTCGGCGCTCCGTTTTTCGGCGCTCTGTTTTTCGGCGCCCGACAGTAGATCTTCTGCCATGTCACCCCTGTGCCTATGCATCTGTAACTGTATCTACATGTAGATACTCATGCTGTCCCGAATGCTGTACAGGAAGGTGTGTTGACATAGTTATTATCACTATCATCAAGAGTAGATAAACAAGAGTGTGCAACTCCGGATCTCTCCTGCACAATCTGCAGATACCCCGCCCCGCGCCCACTGCGGAATTTTTTGTTTACGTCACCCTTTTTCAGAGAAACCCGGATTTTGCCGCAGAGCAGTGTGAGAGCACGTGCTAGGCACCGACCTTGTAGTGTAAAGCCCAGCCAAGTGCACGAGGGAAAACTCTCCAAAAGGCTCGCAGCGCGTGCGTCGTCGAAAAGATTACGTCAACAAAAAATTCCGCCGTGGGCCAACCCATCCGCGAGTTGCACACTCTTGTTTATCTACTCTTGTTATCATGTTCCGTCTCCGGAGCATTGGCCATATCCGAGCCCCTGGCTAGAAGTCTTGTGCCCTAAAGAGGTTGGATGAACGGTGTTCAACTCGCTGGTCTGTTTTTACGTAGGCTGTGCTTTCATGTGGCGTTTCAACCCGAGTTGAGTTCGACCCGGGTCAAGTTTCAACCCGCCATGAACACCGATTGACTGGCTCGTTGACATGACGCATTACGCTTGACCCGGGTTGATTTTAACCCTGCCCTGGGGGGGGGGGGGGGGGGTGAAATTAAAAAAAAATCGTACTACCGTACTTCTGTGTATAGCCCGCACAAGGTTTGAACAGCACTGCACAGGCCAACTTCGCGCAAAAGTGTTTACCTGACCATACAGTGCTCTATAAGTGGACTTTTGCCGGCATATCAGTACTTGACCCGGGTCAGCTGTCTTCCTGTAAACAGTGAACATCTGCCCATTTTTTCCATCGTACAGACTTTCAACCCGGGTTGAAAATTGTCATGTAAACACAGCCTTAGTTGTGTGTGTGTGTGTGTGTGTGTGTGTGTGTGTGTGTGTGTGTGTGTGTGTGTGTGTGTGTGCGTGCGTGCGTGCGTATGTGCATGTGTATGCATATGTGTATGTGCACGTGTATATGTATGTATAATTATATGTATGTGTATGTGCATGGGTATGTGCATGTGTGTGCTTGTTTAATTTTCTTCTTGATATCTAGATTGAGTTCCGTAAGACCAAGGTTACCGATGATGTCAGTCTTGATCATTTAGTATCGCGTACGATTGGCTACTCGGGCGCCGAGGTAAGCTTTGGTCTCTCTCTCTCTCTCTCTCTCTCTCTCTCTCTCTCTCTCTCTCTCTCTCTCTCTCTCTCTCTCTCTCTCTCTCTATCGCTCTCTCTCTCGCGATCTCTCTCCCCCTCTCTCTCTCTCTCTCTCTCTCTCTCTCTCTCTCTCTCTCTCTCTCTCTCTCTCTCTCTCTCTCTCTCTCTCTCTCTCTCTCTTCTCCATCTCTCACTCTCACTCGCATTCACTCGCTGTGATTTACTAAATCAATGATTGGTGAATCAAACTTGTGCTCATTTTGTCTCCATTTGGCTTTTGTTTTATGCAGATTGTGCAAGTTGTGACCGAAGCATTCTTGAGATCCCTGGAAGATGGCACTGGGGGCCTGGTCGGCAAGGAGCACATTGACACAGGGCTGAGCTGCATCAAACCAAACACTAGCACGGCCCAGATCAGTATGTATGAGCAGTACGCTTCGAAGCGCAGATAGCTGCTGTCGATGTGGCCCTCGGTGCCAGTGCATCGTGCCGTGTACTCCGTCACCCGGCATGCAAGCATGCACTGCCTTTTCAGACACATCTGTGTATGCCCAGAAGAACCTATCTGCATGTTGTTGCGAACTAACCGGTACCATGGCGACCTTATTCCAGCCCAAACATGTGAGCTGGGGACACCATGCAGTTCTTCAACAGAGTACGTTCCGGCCTATCTATTCACTTTGCTCCCCAGCCCAGCATGGGCATAGCTATGTATGGTGCTCGCCAGCCAAGCAATGGGTATAGCTTTATATGGTGCTCACCAGCCCAGCATGGGCATAGCTATATATGGTGCTCACCAGCCCAGCATGGGCACAGCTATATATGGTGCTCACCAGCCCAGCATGGGCCCGGGCATAGCTATGTATGGTGCTCACCAGCCCAGCATGGGCATAGCTATATATGGTGCTCTCCAGCCCATCATGAGCATAGCTATATATGGTGCTCTCCAGCCCATCATGAGCATAACTATGTATGGTGCTCTCCAGCCCAGCATGAGCATAACCATGTATGGTGCTCTCCAGCCCATGCTTATTGTACCAGAACCTCTTGCTAGAATAGTGGCTGTTAAATAGCCCCCACAAGGCTCTGCGAATCGTCCGTCTTGTGGCGTGTGTTGACCTTCACATGACTCGTTTCGAAAGAAGCAACAGAGAGACACCTACTGATTCTAATGACTGTCACTATAATTATCAGTTCTCAAACAAAAACAATTTTTGTCAAATTGAAAAATCTCACCTGTTAGTGTACTGTGTTGCTCACTACAGTCCGTTCATCGGAAACAGTCCCGCTGGTTTTTGAAAGTCCGATTTGGGCCGAATTGAGGATCAAAAACCCACTTTAAATCTCAAAAATCTGGGTTTGGAATCTGATTCTCCATACATTTTGCCATGGCATACCTGTCCGAATTTCGTGAAACCTGGTTGAATTTCTATTTCCCTGTTCTTGGGCTTTTCTGGCCTCGAGTGTGGCAAGTAGTGATTCCACGGGTCGCACAATGCAGGGTGTACTGTGGTTTTCACGATAACTATCTTCAAATATGTGCGGAGACACCAAAAAGTTAGGGTGCCGGTTCCCTATGAATGTAGCCACGACTGCACTAGTGACTGGAGTTGTTCATCCACGCAATTTGCAATATACCACTACGGTACTAGCAAGAGTAGGTAGGTTGGCGTAGAACAACAGCTATGCAAAGCCACGTTCATCTCCGCTTCACTTTGGGAGGCAGTATCAACACTCTTCATACCTCAACAAAATTAATCCAGGCGCACAGGAGTAACGATGATTCCGAGACCTTTGGTCGGAGGAGTTACTTTTGCCCGCTGCCACTTCCATCCAATATGCCACCGCCCCCGCTGTGCAGCATCTGGTGGTACTGTGGTATTCAGTAAAAAAAATGTGCCTTGGAGTGGAAGCAAATTCGCCACGAGTTTTCCTATTCGCTACAATCGATCTCGGGATGATGGTCGTGTCTTCTTCATCACCACTGCAGCCTGGACAGCCTTCGGGAGGGCTCTTGCTCAACAGATTCCTACATGTGGATTTGGTTTACACGGTCAGGGAACGAAATAGAGCTGCAAGACACCAAAGCATTTTGTTTTCTTCCATTCAATTGCACTGCTGAGCAGGCACAGCATGCTGACAGATAATCAGTATGCACGTCATCGAGCCCAATGCCCAACAAACGGAAAGTGCTACATATGAAATTTGACACGGCCCCCCTTCTCTGCTCGGCTCGAGACATAGCTCATCGGAATCAGTCACCCAATTCTCCTTCGTATAAGCCATAGTTATTTTTTGCCGTTCAGTTTCCCCTAACTCCCATAATTGGATAAGCCCGATCCTCTTCGCACTGCGAGTAGAGACCAGAAGTGCAGACGTACAGCTGATGTAGTGTGGGATAGCATTCTGCACAGGGAGGCCTGGTTGTGCAGGTTTGATCACAACAACTTATGAGCACGAGCATGCAAAAAAGCATTTTAAATTTTTAATACCGTATAATACTGCAGGCATACTAGTACGTACATGGAGAAAAGTGGTGAGCGTGTGGTGCTAGCGCGATGTGTGAACAATCCAGTATCACCGACGGCGGAGGCCAGCCTCTAGATTTGACCAGCCTGACATGATGCATGTATATGTCACGTTATTGTACATACGAACTGTTGGCCGGCTTCAGAATGTTGTGTCATCTGTGCAGAATCATTATTGAATACCAGGCTGTCCGAACGCCCTGCTTTGAGCAGGACGTTCCTGCTGTGGACCAAGACATTTGTGTATATTTACATAGGATACAGTTGCTATTGCATGCAGTGAATACTATTATGCATGCGTTTTCCGCTTTGAAATGGTGGCAAGGTTGGTCAGACTGAAATACACCATCCACGAAAGCAGTGCACCACCCTGCATCAGCTGCAGGGTGTCACGCGGCTGATTCCCCGCGAGCGATGGGCGTGCCTGTTGTCACGTCGCTGCCTAGGCGGGCCGGTGTTTCTGTCGGCCCACCTCGAGCGGCTTGTCGAACGTCTGCAGTGTTCCCATCAGGATGCAGTCGCGCAGCTTCATGCGCATGACGCCGAGACGCGTCTGCGTGGGCGTCCGCTGCAGCACGCCACCACTGCCACCACCGCTCTTGCTTCCCGGCGACGCAATCCGATAGACCTATACACGTACGATACACATACACACACACACACACACACACACATTTGAATTAAACTTTGGAATTCCCATGTTATGATTCTTTTCAATATTTCCTTCTCTCATAATATTTTACAATAAAGAAAAGGACCAAGAAACTACAAGTTCCGCTATAATGTCAACTAACACCACCAGTTACTTGACAATCAGCTCATGTGATAACATTGCACAAAACTGACCGACAGCACTGACGTTGTACAACTAACTGACAATCAGCTCTAGCACGTCTCGGGTGCGTACTCCAACAGCCTTCCAACTTGGAAGGTTCTAAGTTATAATATTACGAAAACATAGGAGCTAGGGAAGGTATGTGCAACCCAAGACAAGCCCAAGCTTCACCTTCCCTTGCTCCGATGGGTTTTCATATAACTTAGAACCTTCCAAGTCGGAAGGCTGTTGGAGTACGCACCCGAGACGCACTACAGCTGATTGTCAGTTAGTTGTACAACGTCAGTGCTGTCGGTCAGTTGTGTGCAATGTTATCGCATGAGCTGATTGTCAAGTAACTGGCAGTGTTAGCGGACATTATAGCGTAACTTTTAGTTCCTTGGTCCTTTTCTTTATTATAAATTAATTATTGGCTCTCCATCCGAGTCTATCGTAATAATTATTTAGTTCGTTCTTAGTACGAACCGGAGATTTTTCCTCTGGTGAGAAGGCAGAATTGCCTGTGCTCTAACGAATTCAAATCAATAATAGGCTGTTTGTTTGCGCACTGGAGATGTGTTAAAGCTAGATCTCAGGTCGTTGAACGTCTCAGTAGCCTGCCAGTTGTATGCCCTGTTCTCACACTTTATGGTTGCTTATTATATAAACACAGTCATGGATAGTTGCTTCATAACTCATTCCAGTGTGTGTTTTTCCACTATTTTACATTTCAAACAAATGAAACAAACAAACCTTCAGGTTGAGAGTGCAGAGGCTGATCTCGGCGGCGGAGTACTCGGCAAACACAACCTCTTCGTTGAACGCCGGGTTGCGGCTGGGCTTGAACGATCGCGTCAGCGTGCTCACGGTGTCGGCGGTGGTCGGCGGTCGTATCTCCACTTTCACGATGGTGTGCGGAGGTTGGCGCTCGGCATCCAGCGGCAGATTGCTGGCGCGGTGCACGGTGACGACCAGTTGTTGCCGCTCCAGCTGGTACTGCACAGAGAACTGTATCGTGCCGTGCGGACTGTGCGACTGCGTTGTGCGCGCCGCGCTCGGGGAGATGGTGTCGAACGAGCTGCCGATCTGCAGGCTCGGCGCCTTTTGCCACTGCTGCTTGTTAGTGGCTGCTGACAGCCTCGCCACTGTATCCTTGTGCCGCACTAGCTCCTGGTCGAGGACTATGAATGTATCCATGTCCACCGAATCAGTCTTCTCCAGCCGTCGCCGCTTGCTGGAGCCAAGCTGTCTTGTTCGCGCCTGATTCTGCGCGATATCCGCTTGCAGCTTTGCCTCGCCAGTGTACGCTGAGCACCTTTCCTGCGGAGATCTCGTCCTGGGACTTGGGCTATGGCTGCTGGCTGGCGTTCCACCGTGGCTGCGATTGTTGTCCGTTGCTTGCAGGTCGAGCGTTTCTTCACTGGCCGGTACTTCAACGTCACTGCTGCTGCCACCGCTGACGGCACTCCCTCCACTGCTGCCCGGCGTCCGCATGTTTTCATGTTGCTGCAGTGGATCCCCCGCACTACCCACAGTGTCTCCACCTGCTGCTGCTGCTGCTGCTGCTGCTGCATAGCGTCCGCCATGTTGGTTGCCACGACGACTTTGCCGGTAGTCACGGGAGAACGGAGGTGGCGTGCCCGAGTGCTCACTGTCTGCCGACTTGCCTGCCGAGCGATAACTGGTTGAGCCGAGAATCATGTCCGGGTTGGGTGCGTGGTGCGTGGTGGTCGTCTGGCCAACGCCGTTCGCGACTGGGAATTGCGATATGCCCACCGTGCGGGCTGTCGCCTTGCTGCTCGACGCTTGCTGTTGCTTGCGGTGAGGTGCTGTGTTGTACCGGCTGCTCTTATTCGCCATCCTGTCGGTGGCTCTGGATTTGGAGAGCTCGGCTGCATGCGCGGGTGGCAGGCTGTTGCCCGATGCCTGGATGATGGTATTGGCGCTCTCGACAAGCACAACAAACTCATCCGCGTCGCCTTCGCTGTGTTCGCACGCGCCTGTCGCGCCGGGTAGCCTCGCGACCGCCTCGGGCTCCACAATCTCCATGTCGCCACAGTCGATGGAGTACTGGCGTTCCTGCGCGGTCATCTGGTGGGTGGCAATGTCGAATGGCGTCGGGCCGGGGGGCGGGGGCACGTATATCTTTCCCTCGCGTGGGCCCGCTTCGCGAATGCCGGCGCGACCGGGTGGCTGCGACTGGGGCCCTAGCGGGCGCATCCTGAAGCCATAACTAGCGGACTTGGTTGGTGAATACAGCTCGCGCCATTTCCTTAGCTTCTCGTTGAGTGTTTGGTCTTCACTGGACAGCGTCAGCGTGGCGGTGTCGTCCTTCCAGCGGCAGAAGGACTTCTGCGAGCGAACGTGTCTCTTCTGCCGCCGCTTCACCCAGAGATGCAGTGCGGCAGTGAGGGTCAAGGCGAGGAGCAGGCCTGCAATGATGCACATGGCTATAGCGCCGGCGGGGAGTTGGTCATGGCCGTGTGCTCGACCGTGGACCCGTGCCAACGTACGCTTTCCGGGTCCTGCCTGTGGCGGTGGGAGACAGAAGGAAGACAGTACAATAATTATAATTATGTAAGACTCAGTAGCCCAGCAATCCCCTATATAATATATATGGTCATTGCTCTGTATGTTATGGATAGATTGTTCACAGACCGCTATACATGGTCCCTCTTTATGTGGCTGTCGGCAATGTGTCTTGTCTATGTATGGTCACAATAACATGGCGGACAGCACACATAATACATACATGGCCACTCTATATGCCATGCATCTTGTTTAAATATGGTCACGATATAGAGTGGCTTCACATCAGTTTGACATGTGACTAGATTAGTGCAGAAAGTGATCATGGCGTGTGTGGACAGTGGAACCAACATGGCCGACATCATGTGACCCATAGATGCAGGGGTTGAGTGGAGTCGGAACCAACATGGCTGCCCCCGTATGGTCATGTGATAGGTGTGAAACCAATCTAGACTACTGTCGTCCCTCTCTAATCCAGCACCCTCGATAAACCAGCACAATTTTCAGTAGCCAAAATGTCCTCTTCATGCACATTGCAGCAGTAAATCAGATTTGTTAATCCAGCACCCTCCCTAATCCAGCAGAATTTTCCGTGGCACAAATGGTGCCGGATTATAGAGAGGGACCATTGTACTGATATTTTAATGTTCGTTAACATTACTGGTCTTGCAGTAATACTGAAATCCTACTAGTGTGTGGTTTTAACTCACAGCATACATCGTTGTGTGTGGTCACGCCTGTTGACGTCTTGCACACATGGACATGCACGCACACACACACACACACACCTCAGACCTGCCCATCGCGGAAGCGATGATAGCGAACAGTTATGTTAGACATAGCAACTTGTGCTGGGATTACACCATTCAACAGCTTGCAAGACTGATGAATTGACCGACACTATTTTTAGCCTGGTATCCACCACACAGCTGATTGAAGTGACTTTTTCTGGTCAGTGAATCCCTATTTTTCATTTTCCATTTTTTCTTTTCTTTTTTTCTTCGTTTTTTCTACACACACCACACCACATACTCCGGCATACACTGGCTGTTGGTAACCACCCAGGAGAATGAAAGAAAAGTCAGGAAGAGTCCGAGAAAGAGAAGAAAGACGTGTGCGACCATAATCGTCGGGAATTGAACCCGCAACCTCTCGATTGGAAATCGACTGCACATACCACTGCACCATATGGGGGACACACACACACACACACACACACACACACACACACACACACACACACACACACACACACACTTTCACTGCATTTCGAGCAGAATCTGCTTTTTTCCGGCATTATCCGCCAAGGCCGAGCTTACCGGGCTGCTGCTTGTAGGCGTTGCTACACTGATCACCGATGTGCGCAGGTTGAGTACGGGCTCACGCTGCTCCATCCCGTTGCCGTCCACCCACGTTGCATTCGTCTCGTTGCCATAGTCCAGCTGGTCCAGAAACGAATCGACGCCCGGCCACAGGTCGGAGAGGTTCTTTTTTGGTCCCAGTGGCGGCAGTTCGTCTGCGGGAGTGCGTCGGTTATACATGTATGACGCCGGCCATTGACTCTTCGCCGGCTGGTGTGTGTTGCCGTGGTAATCCATGCTAGGATTGGGAGAGTAGATGTACTTGGTCCAGCCATGGCCCATACCTGCGCCGGATCTGCCTGACCGCGTAGCACGTCTTGTCGAGTGGAGCCGCTTGGCCCGGCTTTCGGATGAGCGGGATACGGATTGTGATACGGATTGGATTGTGGAGAAGTATGTGATTGCGTTACGGTGGCAGCAGTTTGGAGAACTGCCCCGGTGATAATGGATCTGACAAAACTAGCAAAACAGCTGTGCGCACGCACACGCGCGCGTACACACACACACACACACGCACATGCATGCATGCACACACCATCGCATACATGCACACACACACACACACACACACACACACACACACACACACACACACACACACACACACACTTCGCTAATAACGACTGCGGATATAACGACAATTCGCGAATAACGACAGAATTTCCATGCCCAGAGCAAAGTCCCATCTGACCATAACACATAATAATGAGACTTCGGGTATAACGACACTTCGCGAATAAGGACACTTTTCTGATGCCCCGCCGCCGAGTGTCGTTATAAGCGAAGTAAGTTGACTGTACTACAAAACAGAGAGGTTCCAGGCTGTCCAATAGAGTGCTCACTACCGAGAAGCAGAACTAGTTGAAACAATTCGGAACCAGGCAGGCACAGTGACCAGACCAGGCAGGCACAGTGACCAGACCAGGCAGGCACAGTGGGTTGGTCAAAGACCATGATTGAGATACGAGAGGTACCTGGTTCAAGTCCTGCCTGGGAGCGGTTTCTCCAGCCGTGCTGCTACCCACAGTCAACTGGGAACTTGTGGCCAGGCACAAGGGGTACATGGATGCAGCTAATGGGGTCGTGCTTGGTACTTGTGCCAGTGGTTGTGAGACTTATCCACTCACCCCCACCGTTAGTCGCTGCATCTGCCGCTAGGGTTTACCGGGTGTTAGCGGCCGTCGTGAGTTCCCTTTGGGAACGCACACGATAATTAGTTGAAACACTAATACACGTAGGAGGATGGGAACTGTGTTTTCTGACGATCGCTTAGTGCGTGAAACTCGGAGTAGAAACACTTTTTTCATCCTCCTTGTAATGTTTGGTTTCACTACTACTACTACACCCATATCTCTCTTATCCAGGCAGGCAGGGACCGAGCACCGCCCTCAACCAGATAACTTTAAACAGGGGCATCGGATAAAGAGCATGCGGAGTATGACCTGTCTGGTCTGTATAACGTTTAGCAGAGCAAAGTGGCTAGGTTCCTGACTACTTGAATATCGGAGTGTACATTTTCAGCCGCCGCAGAGTACTGCAGCCATTCTTACCGTTATCAGGCAGTTATCTCGCTATTCGCCACCGTCGAACAACAAGCCAGGCGTAGATTTGTGGCATACGCTGAGACTTCCCACTGCCTAACGACTTCAGCATGGACAGCTCGATGCACTCCGAAAGGCTTCTCGAAACTCCTCGAAAGCCTCCCTGAAATAATCCGCCGCAGAGCGCTGGGAACTGATTTTTTTGCCACCGGGCACGCTTCAGCGCGATTCAACTCGTCTTTGTGCCCAGACAGGCAACGAGGGTCAACGAGGGTCTTGCTATTCGACTAGAATCACGGCTTGGTTCGGCAGCGATCATAGCCGTGCTGTCTGTATGCTCTGCGCCACGCCAGAACGGAGCTTGGAGCGAATCCGCGCAGCTGGTTTCAGTCTTCTCGTTTTCCATTTCCATGATGACACGCGCTGTGTGCACGGTGTGACATACGAACTCTCTGACCATTGCAAGCACTGCACAGAATGATTATCATGTGTGGTACTCCTTTGCCACAAGAAGTCATCGCCCAGCTAGGGTGTGAGGGAGAGTTTTTGTTGGAGAGCCGAGGCTAACAAGGCTGTTTTTCGCTTGGCCTTCAACGCCCCGGACGGAAAGATTCTGTGGCAGGGAATCCCCGCGCTTGATAGTGCTCACAGGGCTGGATCGGTGTTGGCAAGGGTGCCAGCTGTAATAATGTACATCTGGTACATGACTACACGTGGCAAACAAAGAATCCGACCCACAAGTCAAAATGTCGCCTTTATATCATTGGGCCTACTTCTCGTTTATTGTGCGAATTGAAACAAACCAACCAGCCAACCAACCAACCTAAAGCAGCACCACCACGTTTCCATTAAAATGTTCACGGTCCAAAATCGATCGGACGACTTTCCACATCATGCACGATCCAAACGCCATCCGGCATCCGAGTGCCTGTATGACTATGAGCCTTAGCGCTGTTTTAGTCTCGCTGGTCGGATTTCTTTCATCACTTTTGTAATGATTGAAGCAAGAGTTCACATCTCCAGCAGGCACCCAAAAGGCACAAGGGAGGTTTGCAGAGTTTGTCGCAACTCCGAGTCTCCTGCTCAATGCAATCATCAGGCGACTTGTAAGTCGTAAGTTGCCTGATGATAATTGATTGCATTGAGCAAGAAACTCGGAGTTGCAACAAACTCTACAAACATCCTTTGTGCCTTTTGTGCGTAAAACAAGTAATACCAACTCGATCGCGCCCTCCAATTTGCGGAAAGCCTGACATGTGTGGTCAGAAGATATTTTGCCGCTCTGCATCCTTTGCTTGTGTTGCCTTCTTCTCCTTGTGGTGTTGTGTGGACAATTGGTTAGCCACAATAGTCTTAGAGTCCCAATGAATACCGGTAGTACAATATGCGCAGTCATCATAATGAACTCAGATGGAGAGCCAAGGATAAATTTATAAGAAAGAAAAGGGACCGAAGAATTACAAGTTACGCTGTAATGTCCACTAACACCACCAGTGCGCATCCAATATGTGTTAGAGCTGCTAGCCAGTCAGGTTTAGGACGTCAGTACCGTCGGTCAGTGTTGTGCAATGTTATCGCATGAGCTGATTGTTTAGTAACTGGTGGTGTTAGTGGACATTACAGCGTAACTTGTAGTTCCTTGGTCCTTTTTCTTTCTTATAAATTCATCATAATGACTGCACATGTTATACTACATCCCACGACAACAAGCTAAGTCCCATGACAACAAAGAATGCCGACTGTTACAGGACGATGACGAGACCAGTTAAAGGGAAACTGAACGCCAAAAATAAGTATGGCTTATCCGAAGGGGAATTGGGCACTGATTCCGATGAGCTATGTCTCGAGCCGATCAGAGAAGAGGAACTGTGTCAAATTTCATAAATAACACCTCCCATATTTGGAAATTGGCCTTGATGACGTGCGTACTGCTTAGCTGTCACCATGCTGTGCATGTTCAGCAGTGTAATTGAATGGAAGAAAACAATGACTTTGGTGTTTTGCAGCTCTGTTTCGTTCCCTGACGGTAACCAAATCTAGATGTAGGAATCTGTTGAGCAGGAGAGTGACACATGTCTTCCCGAAGGCTGTCCAGGCTGCAGTGGTGATGAAGAAGACACGATCATCACCCCGAGATCGATCGTAGCGAATTGGAAAACTCATGGTGAATTTGCTTCCACTCCAAGGCAATGTCGAGGTATGAAGGGTGCTTGTACTGCCTTCCAAAGTGAAGTCTGAAGAGGAGATGAACATGGCTTTGCATAGCTGTTGTTCTATGCCAACTTACCTACTCTTGCTGGTACCGTAGTGGCATATTGCAAATTTCGTGGACGAACAACTCTAGTCACTAGTGGCTAGTGAGCAACACTAACAGGTGAGATTTTTCAATTCGACAAAAAATGTTTTTGTTTGAGAACTGACAGTGGCAGTCATTAGACTCAGTAGGTATCTTTGCTGCTTCTTTCCCTTCATTGGTAGGGTTGTGCTTGAATAATACAAGTGCTTGAAGTAAAATAAAATAAATAGAACATGTGGAACATAAATCTAATCAAGCATCAGTACATGTATTGCGAAGTTCAACTTCAAAGCACATGAAATCACAATGATCACGAAGTTTATGTAATCAGGAGTACACCCTGTGTTCAACGAACACATACACACATGCTGTATTGCACACACACATGTACACATGTGCGTGCACCCCCATCCCATCCCACAGACACACGCATGCAGCGCGCACATCCATACACATGTGCGTGTACCCCCCCCCCCCCACACACACACACATTCCTACCCATACACATGTGCGCCCCCCCCCCCCCACACACGTGTGCACATACAGATACACAAACACACACGCACGAACACACACACACACAAGATACGTGTAAGTGTACATGGTCTTCCTGGTGCAGATGCTGAGCCAGCACAATGGAAAATACCTCCATCAAGATGCTTGATCAAGTGTTGTGATAATGGCACTGTTTGTTTGTTTTTACAAAGAAGTGTGGGAAAGATTACAATGCATTATAATTCATAATAATTTATTTATTGTTCTTTGCCTTGTACTGTGCAGACCAGAATGCTTCGTTATCAACTCCTGGCTTTCCATCGGCATGGTGTTCAGCTGCAGCGGCATCTGGTCCGGGGAGTTCAAGTTGCTGGATGGCTGCACTGACACAGGATGGGTTTGCGTTGGCAATGCGATACGGCAGTCATCCCACAATCACGAGCTACATGTTTATGTAATTTATATTGTCGCTTGTCCAGCAACGTCAAGGCTCTGCATGTAAACACAGGAGAACACCATAATACTACTCAGGGGATAATAATTTTGGATATCAATTTCGTGACAATTATTAGATTCACACAATATTCACAACGTATGCAACACAATGCTGTCTATTGACACTACTTCAAACTGAAGTGCTCACTACTCCTCTCCCGTTTTTATCTCCCTCTACCTTATGAATACTCTGCATTACTGGTTTCGTTTCTACCCTTTCCATTGCTGCCAGCTCCCAGTCTTTTTCAATGCACAGCACCACCTTGACAGTCATTTTTGTGATTTGATGTACACATACTTTGAAGTTCAAATTCGAATTACCTGATCAGATTTTTGTTCCACATTTTCTATTTATTTTTACTTCAAGCACAACCCTACCGATGAAGGGAAAGAAGCAGCAGAGAGACACCTACTGAGTCTAATGACCGCCACTGTCAGTTCTCAAACAAAAACAATTTTTGTCGAATTGAAAAATCTCACCTGTTAGTGTTGCTCACTAGCCACTAGTGACTAGAGTTGTTCGTCCACGAAATTTGCAATATGCCACTACGGTACCAGCAAGAGTAGGTAAGTTGGCATAGAACAACAGCTATGCAAAGCCATGTTCATCTCCTCTTCAGACTTCACTTTGGAAGGCAGTACAAGCACCCTTCATACCTCGACATTGCCTTGGAGTGGAAGCAAATTCACCATGAGTTTTCCAATTCGCTACGATCGATCTCGGGGTGATGATCGTGTCTTCTTCATCACCACTGCAGCCTGGACAGCCTTCGGGAAGACATGTGTCACTCTCCTGCTCAACAGATTCCTACATCTAGATTTGGTTACCGTCAGGGAACGAAACAGAGCTGCAAAACACCAAAGTCATTGTTTTCTTCCATTCAATTACACTGCTGAACATGCACAGCATGGTGACAGCTAAGCAGTACGCACGTCATCAAGGCCAATTTCCAAATATGGGAGGTGTTATTTATGAAATTTGACACAGTTCCTCTTCTCTGATCGGCTCGAGACATAGCTCATCGGAATCAGTGCCCAATTCTCCTTCGGATAAGACATACTTATTTTTGGCGTTCAGTTTCCCTTTAAAAACATGACAATGCGGTCTAACTACAATTCGAAGCAGCAAAGCAACAGACCACCCAACTTGGGTGGGTCAGCAATATCGGAGATAAAAAGGAAGGGGGGGGGGGACTTTGCGAAAACGAATTCATTATTGTACAAAACCGGACGCCAATATTTAACAGTACTCCTCATGCAGGACACTATTGTGGACGAGTTGACTACACTAACAAGTAGATGTAGTTCCACACGACGTACGTTTCGCCGTGTTGTTCGTGACGGCTCATCAGGTGCACATTTCCGCTGCGCTCACCTTCCCCTCTTCGGTCCTACGTAACCATGAACCTTCCAAGTTGGAAGGCTGTTGGTTTGCGCAAAGGAGGTGTGTTAGAGCTACTTCAAGTACATAGGTCCCAGGTGGCTGAATGTCTCAGTAGCTTGTCAGTTTTGTGCCCTATTATCGCACTTTCTGACTGTATTTATCATCTTGTTACAGTCGTGGATAGTTGCTGCATAGCTCGTTCCCATGTGTTTATTCTGTTTTAGCCCCATCCCTCACACAAACAAGTCAACAACGAGGCATCTTTGGATTGAGGAGTGCTGGTCTCGAAACAACTGGTTTGAAGCTCAAAGTAGAGCTGCTGTTAGCTCAGAGTAGAGCTGCTGTTAGCTCAGAGCAGAACTGCTGTTAGCTCAAAGTAGAGCTGCTGTTAGCTCAAAGTAGAGCTGCGGTTAGCTCAACGTAGAGCTGCTGTTAGCTCAAAGTAGAGCTGCGATTAGCTCAAAGTAGAGCTGCTGTTAGCTCAAAGTAGAGCTGCTGTTAGCTCGAAGTAGAGCTGCTGTTAGCTCAAGGTAGAGCTGCTGTTAGCTCAAAGTAGAGCTGCTGTTAGCTCAAAGTAGAGCTGCGGTTAGCTCGAAGTAGAGCTGCTGTT